AGTACTAGATTTAAATGTTACATGACCCCCTCGTAAGCTCTTTCCATGTTCATGTTATAAATACGAGACTGAGACTTGAATAGTAAAGCCAGGTATGCTTGAATGAATAAACAATTTTGTGCTTGCTAATAATTTAAAGGGAAATCCAACCATGAGAATTGAGATGAAGTGGCTTAATTTCAGCAAATGCAGAAAAATGAAGCAAATACATTTCATGTTTCTTCCCGGTTTTACCAGTAGAATAGCCGGCTGAGAGGACCATCACTAGCACTCCCAGGCCCAGTGGCTGATGTCTAAGTAGGAGTTTGACGTGGAGAGCTTTTAGCATGTTGTTGAGGTACTAATGGATGGGGGGGGGGGTCAACCTAGCATAGGCTGGAGCGGCTTCTTATTCACTCTGCTTTATGCTCATAAACGCATGCCTGCTCTTAATTAATTTGCTTTAAAGACAAAGATAAAGCTGATGGTATGGGAAGACGTCCACTACAAATTCCTCCCTCTTTATTGTGCATGATAATTTCATTTTGCCACCAAAGTTGTGGTTGAGCTACTTAAGGTGTACCTTTTGCCTTGGACCCAGGCTTTTTGTTTTGTTGGGGGGGGGGGGGGTTTGCTTATAATAATAGTGCTACCGTAGTGGCTTCTGGTATAGCGCACATGTCCGTCACGTTGTGAGGGGGGGGGGGGGGGGGGGGGGGAGTTAGCACTAATTTGGGTTGTTTCATCCCATGTTTGCAAGACTGAGACTTAATTATGCAAGGTCTTCTTAATTGCTTTAGATAATGATGTGCTTGCTAATAAGTTAAAGGGATATCCAACCGTGAGATTAAGTGGCTTGTTTGAACAAATGCAGAAAAATTAAAGAAATACTTTTCATATTTTTTCATAGTTTACCAGTAGAATAGACAGCTGGGATACGCAAGAGATGAGGGACCACTAGCACCCCCAGTGGTTGATGTCCATGTAGGAGTTTGTGCAGCTGATGTGGAGAGCTTTTAGCAAATTGACAAGGTATGTGTGGTAAGGAAATTAGCTCCAAAAGAAAAGTTATAGATTGGGAGTTGGGCTGGCGAGGGGGAGGGGTCAATCTTTAGCAAACAAATGAACTGTTTTCATTTACATAACAATGATCCATGGACAAAACTATGCTGGGAAGTAATTTTCTAATGTGCGCAAAGTGGTGGGGGTGCTAGGAGGGCCCTCCAAAGATGACGGGTTCTCAAACACTCAAATTTTTTTCATAAACGCATGACTGATCTTGCTTTGAAAGGTTTTAGGCAGTTGATGGTATTGTAAGGCATCAAACACAAGTTCCTCGCTCTTTAATGTGCGTGACAGACATTCATTTTGCCAACATGTCATGTTTGAGCTACTTATGGTGTATCAACTTACAAGATGACAGGCTTCATCTTATATTTTGTATTTTTCTTATTGTCTTTTTTTCATAGGGGGAAGGGGTGAAGAAGGAGAGTTACACTAATTTGTGTTGTTTCATCACAGAAAAAATAAAATAATATGCATTAACCTGATGCCTGTAATTTTTTGAAGAGATGCGATTTTAAAATCATATCATCCCAGTATAGCTTCCTGTACGAGCTGTGTTGGGGGTTTTCTGCATCCATCATGAGTTATCAAATATATTCTCCTTTTAACCCAGCATCTTCACCCTCTGCCCTTGAACTGATTGCTTTTCCAATACCACGGTTTGGAGGTCAGACCAAACGACTGACAGACCGACCGACTGAATAGCTAAGTCCCCTCAGTCATCAAAGGTAAGTTTTAACCTAATTTGTTACATTTTATATTGTTTATATATGAAATATTTTTATAATTTTGACTGGCTTTAATGGGAATATGAAACTATATTGCCCAAATATAATCATATTGGCCGGGTCGAAGACAAGGGCAATATGGTTATGTTGAGGGCAATATTGTCTCATATCAACCAAAATGTGAGCCAGTCAATGTTATTATTATCAATTATCCTCTTCTTATATTTCAAGTATCACTTATATATGTATCATGTACAAGTACCCAGATGTGAAACGCATGGTAATATGCTCTTATATTACCCGCTGCTACATCACGCGTGTCTTTATGCGATAATTGCACCATAAATAATAATGAATGATATTATACTCTTGACTAACTTTGAATATTGATCCTTATTGAGTGGTCTTTCTGAAAGTTGATATAATAAAGTTTCTTTCAATCTGGCAGACAAGTACATGCAAGTGCATTCATTGTTACTTACTGGGTTTATAACATTCATCACAAATTTGCTGATAACCTGCAGATTTTATATCTTCTTTAGATATGAACATATCAATTCAATGATTGACAACAAACCCAGTAATATACATATGGAACCCTATCATATCATCTTCAGTGGTTGATAAATACTGTATAGATGTTCGCTACATTTTTTATTGAAATGGAATACAATAGTACCATACAGACCATGGAGTATGCTGTCACAATTTTTTAAACAATATACCAATCCTCCCAACCTAAAAGTGTTGAACACAGGAAAGCCATTCATATTTTTAAATAGGAGTTATACCACTCTGATTTCCTACCAGGAATTTAGTGCCACAATGTCACAAATTACATTCTAAGTGAATAAATGGTGCAACAGTATTTATAAAACAATTGCAAATCTGCTTTTCTACTCGGTGCATGCTTCGCTTTTTTTCTGTTAAAAGTAGACCTTAAATTCATATTCTGATTTTCATTTATAGTTACTGTATATTTCAAAATATCAATTTAGGACAGAGTAAAACCACTTTTTATTTAATACCCGTTTCTAGGTTTCATTCCTGTTTTATGAAATAAAATTACTATGTCCTCTCTACTTATCATTGAACAGAGTTATTGATAACTTGATTGTAACAATCTTTTGTCAATTACCTCTTAGGATGGACAAAAATACAGAAGTTATTGTTAGGTGGGATCGTGATGGAGAGATCAATTGTGGCAAGAAACGAGATCTTCGATATAACGGAAGGCGTAGGGTGGGTTCAAGAGTCACTATGAGCTAGATGGATGTGGACTGGACAGGGACTGCAACACTGACAGGAGACTCTGACTCCGAATGTGCCTCCATTTAGAGGTTTTGTGGTCTAATGGATAAGTCGTTGGACTGTGGATCACAGGATCCATGGTTCAAGTCCCGCCACAGCAGTAATGTCTTTTGGCAAGATATTAATCTACATTTGCCACTCTGCTGTGAGCACCGAAAGCGGCTGCCTAGCAGAGCCAGGGTAATAGTTAAGGCGCGTTGAGCATATTGTTATTATTATTTTGACAGTGACAACCTCCCTCCTTCCTCACTAAGAACAGCACAGACTAAGGTCATCCATCATATGAAAGTTGCATGTAAGAAGTTTTAATCCCATAAACTTACAGTGTTGTATGTTTTTAGAAGGATTTGGCATGTAGGACTAATATTAATTGCTAATAGTTTATATTTCAAAGGGCAATCCAACCTCTGTAAACAAGTTGATTTATGTTAAAGCAGAACAAAATGAGTGTAATAGACTGGTGAAAGTTTGAAAGAAATCAGACATAGAATAAGAAATAATGTTTGAAAAGTTAGATTACAACATCTATGTAAATCTCAGATCTGCAATTTTATGAGGCAACAGGGACGTATGCAGCTGACAACTTTGTATGTCATACACAAAAAATATAAATAATTAATGATTTTCTTTTAAGCTCTTCGATTGTGGCAGTACTCAAACCAATGTAACCCTCCCTCCCCCTAATCAGTGGCCTTGTGAATTTGCATTTCAGAATTTTCCAAGAACACCGGTACCCCCCTTCTTTATAGAGCTATCATGTTGTATTTTTTGCCATGAGTGCGGGCTACAGTTAAATAAGTTGCAATTTTGATATTCAAACATGATTCATTACACCGGAGTGTTGGCTCAGTCAGTAGAGCGTCCGCCTCACAACCGGGAGGTCGTGGGTTCGAATCTCGGCCGCGTCATACCAAAAGACGTTAAAAGATGGGAGTTGTTGCTACCTTGTTTGGCGTTCAACAATAAGGGATAGAGCAACGTCGATCTGGCGCTGCTCAGTGGCTGCCGGGCTCACGATCAATTGGGCAAAAAGAATTTCCGTTTCGGTTTGATAAAATTTTGAGTGAACTATTAGGCTATTATTATTATTATTATTATTATTATTATGATTTTTCAATTTTTAATGATTGTACATGTAATTGTGAAATGAACTGTACAAAAACGATTCCAGTTACTGTATATTGCAAAGAAATAAATGCAGTCATAATCAAGACGAAAGTATTAATCTTAAGATTTGATTGCTTTGTGCTATTCAACGTTTATTCTTATTTAGTTAGATTTGTTTATAGGAGAAATGTGTCTGAGAGAGTAATGTACTAAAATGATAATGACTTATGTGACAACAAAGAGGGGTAATAAACGACAAAAGAGAGATAAAGAGAGAGAAAGAAAGAGAAGAAGGGGATGTTCTTGTTTGCATGAGAGAGCTAGAGAGAGAGAGAGAGAGAGAGAGAGAGAAAGAAAGAATTGAGAAGAAGTTGTACATAGTGCTTGGTGTGCCCCCCCCCAACAAAAAGTATACAAATATGCTATTGATCATTGACAAAAATATTCAATTAAACTTAAATCACATATGAAGCAGGACAGTACAATTTCCATAACAGGCATTTAGAGTCACTAACAAATTATTACATTTCCTGCATTATGTGAAGGATTCAAGATGAATTTCTGGATGGGGCAGAGTGATGTGAGTCTAATATTGAATATAGTGCTGTGATTTCGAGGAAACAGAATCAGCTAGGTATGACAAATATAGTTTTATGGGTGGGGGGGGGGGGGGGTACGCAAATGGGCATTGCTTTGCACAGCGCGCACGTCAACTGGGACGGTTCGTAAAAACGAAATTTCACATAACCAATAGGGGAAACGGGGCCGCGTAAGCTGCGGGGCCACTACGTGAAGACGAGCCTAATAGACTGTAGGGCAAGTCACTGTATTGTGTTGTTTCGTAGTCCCATCAGTGGCAGTCAACCAAACCAGTATGAAAATATAAAGAAAATTATTAAAAACATATTTACCGTTTGTTCTCCTCATTTTCTTTACGGTTTTTCGTGAAAACTAATTAAAGAAAATTATTATGTTGCCTCCTAATATTCGTGGGTAATGTGCCGGGAAATCGGAGGTGTGTCCAATTCAACCAATCACGAGGCGGGATTTTCCCTACGTCATTGTCCTCGTTCGCTACATAGAAACATCTAACAACCATAATGGGGGATGACGCTGATGAAGTTTCGTCACCGATACAGAGATAAAGAGGTGTTTTATTCACTTCCCGACTGTGAATGATGTCGTTTTGAAAGAATTCACAGACACAAAATGGTCCAAAGCTTTTGCTTCTGCTGATATTTTGAAAAATACGGACGGAGAAAAGAGCAAAATTGCGACGGATTTCCTTGCCAATGTCGCCCGTATTGAACCGTATAGAGTACAGCGACAGTACCGGTACCAGTGCACTGCACTGGTACTGTCGCTCTATATACGGTTCAATACGGGCGACATTGGCAAGGAAATCCGTCGCAATTTTGCACTCTTCTCCGTAAAATACCTCGAGATTCTGACAAGACTGAATTTGAAGGTGAGTTTCAATCTCATTGTTTGCAATAACCATGATAACCCAGCAAAAATTGAAGCCCTGCCTTCGACTTTGATCTAGACTCTAGATTACAAAAAAAAACTTTAATTATTAAATTAGATTCTAGATCTAGGCCTAGGTCTAGGTCTAGATGGACCTATTTAGAGTCTAGACCTTCTACTAGGCTCTAGGCTCTATTTAGGCCCTTCATTCATGCATGATGGAGCTTGAATAATGAAGTTTGTCAGTTTGAATCGTTCACAATGCCTCTGTGAGTTGACATCAATTTTGTTTGTCATGTCATTGATGTAATCATGTACGTACATGTAGACCCTCCCTAGCTGTAAATTATAAATATAATAATGGAAAACAAAAAAAAATATCAGTCAAGTTGGACGCATTGAGCCAGGCTTTACTTAACATTAGACATGCCTTCCTAGTTAGTTTAACTTGTTGGCCTGGTCAAAACAGCATTATTTTAAACTGGTTTATATTTTCTGCTGGAATGTGCTGTGTTGTTTACATTAGTTGCACACTAGGGGTCAAAATACAAAGCCTATTTTATTTAGACAAGGGGCACTTTTTCTAACATGAAGATAGACATGGCGGCTGTCAAGCTATCAGTATCACCAATTTTAATGTTTGACTTTCTTAAATAGAAAAGACGGCGAAGCTATTGCCAAATTTCGAAATAACTTAGATCTATAGACTAATATAAATTTTTGTTTTTGAAACATTTAAAGAATTTTCAAAAGCTTTAAAGCTATCTGAAATTTTTGAAATGACAGCGAAGCTATCGCCAATTTATAATATGAGCTTTGATTTTGACCTAGTGTTTTATATTCTTTTTCCCCCAGATCCATCTGATATCCCTCCACAACCTAAGAAGCTGTGTAGGAGTCTACAATCTCGGCGCTCATCTGTCAGCTTTGATTTGTTGGACCTATTTGAGACCATTAGTATAAAATTTACGCCGTTCATATTGAGCACTAAATGTATGCAATATTTGTTGCTGTTTATCAGCAGATTTTTCAACATTAACTGGTTCTATTGATAACAACAAATATATATGACAGAATTAAAATGAACAAAGGCAAGATCATCGTGAAACTTTTTCTCTGATATTTCTTATTCAATTTGGGGATTAAAAAAAAATTGAGCATGATTTGTATATCCCTATGGTTCCTTTGTAAATTATGTACAAAATAACCAACCTTTCATGAATATACATATACAAATGTATGGGTCGACTGGGGTGTTTTACATATACATTATGTGCACCTGTAATATAAGAATATACTAAATATATGTAAAGATATAATTTCAGAGCTGGAAAAATGTTTTTATTTCCTAGGAATACAATACAAATTTTTCTCTGGGATGCCAAAATTAATCTCCCAAGGTTTGATTGTTACAAACTGTTCCAATTTTTATTTCATCAAGAGGTAAACATTTCCCTTCAAATGTCAAGGAAACGATGTCCTACAGTTCCCTATTTATTCCAAACCTGATAATTATATTGATTAATTGATAAGAATTGTATCAAGGAAAGCAAAATGAATTATTTTTGCTAACAGTAATATTACCAGTAATCACTTACAGTAATGTACTATTGTACTTGCATTGCATGCTCATTTGTTTCATAATAATAATAATAACATGGATATTTATTATTTATTATGCATACATGTATTTTGCCATGTTGAAGCATTGCCAAGATTTATAGTCAAATATAAAACTTTATTACGCTCAAATGTATGGGTCGTTTCAAACTTTCCATCACACTCTTTGGACACTTGTTCTAATCCAAATATTAAAAATTTATGAATTCCTCAACAGTAACAGCTTTTTGGCCATTTTTCTATCAACATATTTTAGGACATTTTCTCTGAACCAAACAAAAAAAAACAAAAAAAAACAAATGACTAGACACATCTTATCAATGTTTCATAATTTATTTCAATTCCATCAATATTTATGTAAAAACTTTGTTAACAATCTTTGCAGTTCAAGTTAAATTTCATTTGTAAATTACAACATGCATGTACCATAGTTCTGATTTCACTTGCAGTGGCAAGTACCGGTATAAGAAAAAGTACCAGGTAATAAGCTACTTGTAGATAAATGTCATTGACAAAAGGGTAGTACGGTAATAAATTTTACATAATGAATGAAATCAAATTAAACAGAGAAGAATATAATTTATTTGGCAGTTTTGGTATGAATTTGTTGTTAGGTTTCTCTTTGAAATTTGTATTGTTCTAAACTGATGCTATGCAGACCATGAGCAGTGTTGCTGTCTAGTACTACCTTGTATTAGTATTAACAAAGTTTTGAACAGCAATATATTTTTCGGGGAAGTGGAAAATAAACTAAAAGCAACAATATTGATGATTTGATTGGAAGGAGTTCGCACAGTTGATGAAACTTAATAAGACATGTACACTTAAATAAGGTAAAATATGATGAAGGAGAGAGGAAGAGTAAGGAGAAAACAACAGGGGAAGAACAAGAGATTTTTAAGAGGAGACATGAAGAGAAGAAAAAATGTGTGTGATGAGAGAGAGAGAGAAATAGAGAAAAAAGGAAGAGTTAAATGAGTGACATGAATATACAAACAGATGGTAACTTAAACAAGATGCAAGAAATTACATAACTTGGGCTTAACAAAACTCGTCTTGATGACGTGCTGAAATAAAAATAAAAAACATGGAAAATTGCAATTAGTGTTTTCAAGTTCACCAACAGCATAAATATAAATTAATTGCGCAGAAAAATCACACCTGAACAGTCTCATAGAGGTCCGAAATAAATGTTTTGCAAAAAATAATCAAGAAATAGCAAATTTGAATGCCTTTTGAATCAGCAAAATGGCTATTTTACCATAGTTGGCGCTAGTCTTTTTCAAGGAAATCTTGTTAAAATCCAATAAAACTAATTAGCGGATTAAATTAATTGCGCAGCAAAATCACACCTGAACAGTCTCATAGAGGTCTGAAATAAAGATTTTGCAAAAAATAATCAAGAAATAGCAACTTTGAATGCCTTTTGAATCAGCAAAATGGCTTATTTACCATAGTTGGCGCTAGTCTTTTTCAAGGGAATCTTGTGAAAATCCAATAAAACTAATTAGCGGATTATCTCATTAACAGGTGTACGAAATTTGGAGAACAAAGGTGTTTTCTCATCAGCAACTTCATCACAATCATTTGGTATAGTTAGTTTTCTCTGCCAAAGATGGGACTACGAAACTTTTTTTTAGATGGTTAACTGGCCCTTGCCCCACAGTCTATAAGCGTGGATGTCAAGTTTTTCGTTTTCACGAACCGTCCTCTGACTGTCCTCTGTGATTGAGGTCTAATTATTGTTTAAATAAACATTATTTCCACGTAAAACTTATATCATTTCATTCTGTAGATAGTGTACTATCAAGATATCCAAAAAAATGAATACCAATACATACTTTTTCCCCGTGAAAACAGCGATTGTAAAAAAGTGAAACTTTAAACGCGTTTATCTCAAAATTTGTTTCTGTACGCTAAAACGCTCTTGGGACACTTCGTGAAAACGGCGACGTTATGATTATACATTCTGCCACACCCCCCCTTCCCCCATTTCCTCTTTTTTTCTCTCCCAAAACCAACTGTACCAACCCCTTTCCCATTAGTACAATTTTCTCTTCATTATGTTCTTCCAAGTTCTATGACACCCATTCTTTCCTCTTCGTTTTCTGTTTTTCTTATAATTATGTTTACATAAAAATAACGTGTTTACCATTCCCACGGACTCAAGACACAAAATGAAAGACTCTTTCGTATAGAGATTAGCCATCTCAAACAATATAAACCAAATGCACCTAATCCTAAGAAGAAAGGAGGAAAACACGGGACACGGGGACACTCACAATCAACAGATGATAATATGGGATTAAAGACGAGTGTGAACAGGCCGAGGAGTCCTTGAACTTGAGAGTAGCCGATTTAAAAGAATTATGAGTCTTGGGCCGGGGATAGTTGACTGATAAACAAATGGCTTTGAGATGGAGGGCAAAGGGAAAAGAGTAGAGCGATAGGTCGAGCAGGGTTTACAATATAATGGTAAAAATATACCCTGGACAGCGGATCTATTTTGGACTGAATTTAGTAATGTATTTCTTAAAATGGTGAGTAATAGAAGGTGTCTTGGAGCATGGTGGAATCATAGACGTAATATGGTGGAATACACTGGGATTAAAGATGAGTGTGAACATGCTGAGTAGTGCATGCTTAAACTTGAAAGTAGCCGGGTTGAAAGGATTATGAGTCCTAGGGGATAGTTGATTGATAAATAAATGGCTTTGAGATAGACTATGTAGTTGAAGGGACAAGGGAAAAGAGTAGAGCGATAGGTCGAGTGGGGTTAAGAACGATAAAAATACCTTGGACAACAGATTTGTTTTTAATAGAATTTAGTTATGTGTTTGTTAAAATGGTGAATGATAACAGAGTCGTTGTATTGGTAGTTAATTGATACTCTAGAGCCTGAGCTGTCAGTGGTATCTCGAGAATATCCCAACGAGTGAATCCAGCATACCCAGGCTGAATGGTATAAGGACCGCCCCTTCATCTGACCAATCAGAAAGTAAACATAATTAATGAGGTTTTTAAGGTTTCGGGCTAGACAGTTTTGACCAATGGGAAAAGTTTTTGCCCTGTCCATCAAGAAGTCGACATTGGCTGGTGTGGATCAGGTGACAACAAGTATTATGGGATGGAAAAATAACGGAAAATAATAAGAAATTTGCTGGACTTGCATCCCTGGCACCCAAGCATTTACCACCCCATTTTTACTTCTCTGGGCATTTGGAGAGCCCTTAACTTTTATTAATTGAAGCTTCGTCTCGAAAAGTTATAAAGTTCCTGCGATGTCCCTTTGTGTCGCCTGTGTGCTGACTATTTAAAGACCGTCAATACTACTGGGCCAGAAGGGATTAGACCACACAGCGAGGTCACTGACAGGTGGCTATCTCATTAACTCAGCTCTCAACTAACATAAGAAAAAGAGGATCATGGGGGACCAATAGGTACCGATTGGGGAAGTTTTCTATATAGAGGGAGCAAGTAGCTACTAGTAGGACAGTGGGGCTTTAAATTAGCAAACTGAAACTAAGTTAAATCGGGACTCGTCAAAAATGTGCTTTGTTTCTGTGTCCAAACACTGGCTAAATAACAGACACGGAAAGGGCAGTACCCCTAACATATTCACTCGAATTGTATTAATTAAAATAATTAACTAAAAAAACGAATCTCACTCGGGGTCCTTCCAGAACGGAGGCTCCCAAAGGAATGGGGCTGACTAGATCGGGCCACAACCTGGCTTAGGCTGTAGGGGGCGGGGCATCCTCCCGAGCACGGAGAAGAAATTTTCAGGGCCAGAAGACCCGCACTGGGCAAATAACAGACGCGGAAGGGGCAGTACCCCTAACAAATTCACTCGAAATGTATTAGTTAGAATAATTAAATAAAAAGACGAATCTCACCCAGGGTCCCTCCAGGACGGAGGCTTCCTAATTTCTATTCTTTTCTTCCTCTTTTTCCGTCTTTTCATTTTGAGCCGCCAATAGGGGGGGGGGGAGGGGGCCGTTTCGGTCCCTCTGCATCCACCACTGAATAAGTGTCCCGTTTCCATTATCATTTTCTCTTTTTAATCTCTGTTAAGGGCCCCTTTTCAGGTACGAGAAGTACCCCTTACCACCTCTGAGAAGTGCCCCCTTCACCTCTGACAATAATGCCCCTTTTCAAATCTGACAGGTACACGTTTTACTTTGACATGTGCTCCTTTTCCCTTGTAATAATTGCCCCTTCCCCTTCCTATAAGTGCTCCTTTTCTTCTTTGATGAGTGCCCCTTTGCATGTCTGATAAGTACCCCTTTTCTCTCTCGTAAATGCCCCCTTTTCTCTCTCAATAATTTCCTCTATCAAAATCTGACAGGTGCCCCTTTTCCTTTATATAAAGCGCCCCTTTTCATCTCTTGACTGGTGAATGCCTCTTTTCAGGTGCGAGAAATTCGCCTCTGATAGGTACCCCTTTTATTTTGACACGTGCCTCTTTTCCTTTCTAATAAGTATTATATTTTCTTCGGATAAATTCTTCGGAGAATCTGATAGGTGCCCTTTTCCTGCTCGCTCCGTTCGCTCGAAAATTTATATTCAGACCATCAAATAAAACTGCAAAGTAGGATATGTAGCTTAATCAGTATCTTGTACCACGTAAAGAGAGAAACAAATATTGATGTCATCTCTGGTAGTATAATCACAATCATGACAATGTAGGGGTATATACATGAACCAAGTGTCTACAAATGGTGTAGTTTTTTTTCCAGTAAGAGCCCTTTTTTTGTTGGTGCCCCACCCACTTTGGAAGACGCTCCGCCGCCCCTGCCAATAGAAGAGTAAAGACCGACGGCTTGATATTTTTGGATATGATTGATATACTGCTAACCACATTTAGGTTTTTATTGTCACGAGCAGGCGCGGATCCAGGAAGGCCGAGCGGGCCTTGCTCGCCCCACCCCCCCCCCCCCGCAAAAAAAAGTGAGAGAGCGAGAGAGAGAGAGAGAGAGAGAGAGAGAGAAGGAAAAGAAGGGAAAGGGAAATAGGAGAGAAAGGGAAAGAAAGAAGATGAAGAATAAAAGAAAAGGGGGAAAAGGAGATCGGAGGGGACCGAAGGGGCCTTGCCTCCGAGCTGTTACCCCACCCCCTCCCATCAAAAAATAAAAGAGAAGGAAGGAAAGGGAAAGAAAAAAAATAAGAGGAGATAAAGGGAAGGAAAAAGAGGAAGAAGAAAAAAGAAGAAGGGGGATATCAGTTGCAATTTCCCGCCAACAAGTTTTAGTTCGGGGTCAAAAGGCTCTTGCCCCCCCCCCACCCCCCCAAGGGGGGGGGGGGGAGGAAGGGAAAGGGAAATAGGAGAGCTAAAAGGGAACAAAAAAAAAGGGGGAAGGATACAAAGAAGGGAAGAACAGTTGCGATTAATCCCGCCAACAACGTGTGGGTCGGGGAGGGGGAGTGGCCAAGAGACCCTTGCCTCCCCCCAGCAAACCTAAACAAGGGAGAAGGAAAAGGAAAAGAGGAGAGAAAGGGAAAGAAAAAAAGAGAAAGAAGAAAGGTAGGGAGATTAGTTGCTATTTTCCCCGCCAACAAGGTGTAGATCGGGGGGGGGGGGGC